TAAATACTTATTTAATAATTATAAAAATTTCAATTATAAAAATTTTTTTTGCAGATTTTTTTGCAACACCCTGTATATTCATCTATTTTTTAAAAAAGCAGTAAATATTATGATAATTGATAAATTGAGATTTTGTCATTGAGATAATTGATAAATTAATATTTTATCATGATTGAGACAAATTCATACCAGATTTTTGCCGGTGGTTGAATCCATTTAATTTCTTTGTAAAATGACTATTTTGATTATTTCCAAAAAGACCTTTTTTTTTATCTTCGATATTGCAGTATAACAATGTATAATTGAATATAATTGAAATTGCAAATTATATTTGTAAATTAGAATTTTACAATGTTAAGGATTTTTAGATAGTCAATGTACCACTGAATGTAAGGTAAGTCACATTTTATTCATAAAGAGCTTGTTCAAACATCGGCAGTGAAATTTTCTGAAATCGCAATCCGGTATATTCGATACAGCTATAATTAGGAAAATTGATGTTAAATCAGAACAGCAAATATGAAGAATATTTACAACCCCATTTGATTGGTTTAAGCAAAAATAACCTTCCCTCCCTTTAATATAAATATAAGATGTAAAAAAAAAAAAGACCGGTGTGTGAAAATGAATAAAAATACAAAATTATTGAAGTAGTACAATTCGCTAGGTTTTCATTGTTGAATATCTCAAAGCAAGGAAAACCTCGAATAAAACTCGATATGAATGGAATTTTTCATTCTAGACAAGAATCCTAGCAATGATTTATGCCAAGGCAGCCAATACCACAACACCACCAACAACAGCAAAAATAAGCATAAGACAACACATCCTGTTACGTGCGTTTCTCTGATAACGGCTGGCAATGGTTAATTCATCAGCAGCATTTCTAACATTCACGGCAATATTTGTGACATTACTCTCAATGTTGTCTATTAGAAGCAAAGGGAGTAAGATTGAGGAAAAAAAGAAGACATGAGTGATCGAAATGAAAAGCTTACCCAGCATCGTTTGATGTTCAGTCACAAGTGTTCCAAGATCCCTGAATATCTCATTTAACTCGTTGATTCCTTGCTCGATCTCCCTAATCTCAACTTCTCGTTCAGCAATAAGTGATTCATTGTACTCAATCTCATTGTCTAATATTTGAAGTTGAAGCCTTCTATTGCTATCATCGATGAGTGGCTGTTCTTCGGAGATGCCCGGATCATCGTCGTACACATCATTTCGAACATTGAGAGTTTTTGCTTTGTCAACGTATTCTCGTTGCTTCTCTGCCGAGAGCCTTTGTACTTTTTGAAACTCTTGTATTGTTTTCTGAAAATCTTTGGAGAGTTTTTCCTGCTCAACCTTGCGGTGTCGCTGCAAATGAGGAACATTATCTTAACGTTAGTGAATACTGAAGTAATGACTTATTTATTTATTTCATTGATTCTTACATTCTTCGCACTGGTAGACTCATAGTGTGAAAGGCTCTTGATGTTATTGCTCGTTTCTTTAACCAAGTCCCGTGTCTTTTCGGTCAAATTATGTCTATATTAATTTGAATGCGTTCAGAAAGAAAAAAAAAAAAAAGTTCGTACACGATAATCACAATATGAAGTTTAAACATGGTCGAGGCTTACAATTTTGTTCTTACGTCCGGTGTGTCTTTTGCAGTTCCAAGATAACCAACTAGATTCCGTATTGAAGTCATATTACTGGTAATGGTAAAAATCTGTTGGGATATGGTTCTGCTCAGGTTCTTATAGCGCAGTTCCTCGCCTGTATGTAGTAGTAACGTGGGTTGGTGACTCTGGTTTAAACTATCAAAAAGGACGCATGTTTGTCTTTATGTCCATTTCACTCTGGTAAAGAAATGGAAGAAATGGAAGGTTAGTAGTCTACAACATAATGAACGCCTTGGGCAAAACGAGATAACGTACGAACCACCTGACAAGGCACCGTAATCTTTGGCACGTGAACCTCTTTCTATATCATTGAAAGACATTTTTCTTTTCTTTTTTTTTTTATTACAAATGTTCAAGGGAAGGGTGGAGGAAAAAAAGGAATATTTTTAATCCCTTCGATTAACCGAATACATAATGAGTTGTGCTGCCGATTTTCGGATTATCTAATATGGCGTGCGTATGCAAGTTTTTACTGGTGCAACATTTCTCAAGTAGATTTTTAAAGATCAAAAAAATCCACTTTTACTGATGATACTAGGGCACATGCATGGCAAATCCGTTTTATTAATTAATGAAAACTTAAAATCATGACAAAAAAATTAAAAATAAAATAAAATAAAATTCATCTAAGGTGAAAAAACTTGTTGCAGAAATAAATCCAAAAATGGTCAAAATCAAATACCACTAGAACGATGTCCATCATTGACACAATTTTCATGAATTACTTTGAAATTTACAATGACTTTTTATTAACACTGTATTTGCACTTCTTGGATTAATATGTGGCGGATTAGGGTTGATGTGTTGGTGGAAGTTTGTATGAATATTTTTTTTTTTCGAATGACAAAAAATGACTAAATACTAATATATAAAATACTTTTGGGGGTTAAAAAATAAAAAGAGAAAATGTCTAACGGGGAGGAACCTGTCTGATAGCGCGGGACAGATAGTATCAATTATCAATACTAGGAAAAAATTTTGTTTTGTTTTTTTTTGGAGACAGTAGCATTATCGCCCCTTGAAAAAAATAAAATAAAATTCTTTTTCACTCCTTATCCTCCCGCACCGAAAACATGTCTTCTAGACCCCATTTTCTAGAGAAAAAATAGTTGAGCAAAAATATTACTTCACTATTTACCTATTACCCTATATATAAACATTATTCACTGTACCCAAGCGAATTAATTTTGTATATATAAAAAAATGGAAAAAGTATATAAAGAAATATAAAAAGTTCATGTATCCAGCACATTTCGCTTTCATTAATACAATGTTATTAACGTCACATTTCCTCCAATGTATTATACTCAACGTCACAGATTGGACTAGTATCGACCTCTCGAGGTTTTGTTGTTACGACGATTATTACCACGGCGTTCCTCGGTGTACACGATCTCGTTGCCGACATTGACGGACTTGGCGTTGAGAGCAGCCCTGTATGCTGCAGGGTTGTTATACTCGACGAATGCGCATGACTGCGATGATTCAAAGTTCAATATTAACAATAACTTTCATATACTCAATCAACCCATTTCAACAATGTGGGAACACTTACTTTGGTTGGTACAACATCGATATGACTGACGACTCCAAAAGTTTTAAAAGCTGATTGCAATTGTTCGCGAGTCATCGTTGAGGTAACACCTTTGACATAGATAGAAAGGTTGTTGTCGATGTCTATTGTGGTGGTACGCAAAATATTACATTAGCACTTAATAAAGTATTTAAATATTTTCAAAAGTATTAAAAATGATCATACCGCTATTTCGGCGGTTGTTTCCCCTGGTCCCATCTTGACGACGGTCCTGGTTGTCGCGCGTATGCTGTCGTTGCTGTTGGGGTGTCGTTTTTGGAACAGGGGCTTGCACGGGAGCAACATGTCCTTTTTTCTCTGCCAACGCGTTATTCCATTTACTATGATCATCCGCCGCCAAAGATGCCCATGTCTTAACAGCAGGTGGATCTTGAGATTTTTGTTGTTGCTGTTGCGTGTTGACTTGTTGAACAGAATCAGAGGGTTGGGCAGTCGTGATTTCAGCCTGGGAATTTTGGTTTGAAGTGATTGCCGTGACCTGGCCATTCTTTTGCACGTCACCTTGAGCGCCAGCTTCATTGGTTGCAGGTTGACCGTTTACAACCACCGATTTCGCAACCGAATCTTCACCCGATGAATCCGTCTGTTGAACGGAGGTTGTAGGATGAACGTTCTCAGATGCTGATCCTCCAATCGGAGAGATTGAGCGCTGCGGGTCGGGAGTTATCTGTCCATTTCCGATCGGAGAAATCGATCGTCCTGCAGGAGAGGTCGCTCGTTGAGAAATTATTTGCTTATTTCCAACCGGAGCAACAGATCTTGGCGTTTGATTAGGTGCCGATCTTTGAGCATAAGTTTGTCCATTGTGAGATGAACGTGAAGGTTGAGTGTGAGCTGTAGTGGGAGCCGGCTGTTTCGTATTTGCTTGCTGTCCATTAATCAAAGAATTTGTAACTGTGACAGTAACCGATTGGGAGTTAGACGCGGGATTAGTAGTAACTGATGATTGCGAATTGTTCGTATTATTTTTGACGGAAGGTGACTGAAAATCGTTGGAAATCGAATTAGCGTTAAGATTTTGTACTGATTTGGTAGGTGCTTGAATATTTGTTGCTGAATTATTAATCGACGGTTTAGGAGTTTGAACTGATGGCTGCTTAGGTAAATTTTGTGGTGTATCATTGTTGGTTGGTTTGGGAGACGGAAATTGAGAATTAGGTGTGGGTTTTAAAGACGATGAATTATTATGAGACAATGGATTAGGAGCATTAGTAGGCGTCGATTGGGTTTGACCGGATATATTTGCAACAGGTTTGGGGGATGCAGTTTGAGGAGTAATAGTTGACTGTTTAGCCGAGTGAGAAACGGGAATAGACCTTGGTTGATCGACATTAGTAACGTTATCAGAGGAAGTCAAAACCGATTGAGACGTCACAGTTAAAGTGGACGAAGAAGGTTCGATTGGTTCTTCATTAGCCGTAGCTTGAACCTCATCATGAACTTCAGTACCATTAACTGATACATTGATGGTTTCCTCTGTTGAGACTACAGTTTGTCTGGAAGTAATGGTGATTGTAACCTCTCCGACAGCTTCCGGTACAGCACGACCGTTAATAGGTTCTTCGACAAGTGTACCAGTGGGTGAAGTTGAACCTATCTCTTCTTCGTTCGCGTCGTTGGTCACTGCTCCTTCAACAGATGGGTGCGTTTCTGTTTCAATCTCTTCACCTTCCTCATCCACCTCGTCATCTTCCTTGAGGAATCGGATAATATCATTCATCACGTAATATCCATTTGGTTGTTCTGCGAGAAAGAACGTCTGAGCAAACTTTCGAGATGATTCGCTTCGATTGCTCATTTCGCCCAAGACTTGAATCACTATACCACCGTTAATGGAAGATTGGCTGTCGACATTGGTAACACGGACACGGCAATTTTCCAAATCAAGTTCTTGAATTTTTTCTTGGATTTCCTAAGGTATGTTGATAAAGGCAAAGGTATAGTAGGGTAAAAATTAGTGAACACAATTCTTAGACGGTCTAATTCAAACTTTTACTATTGCATGCGTAAAAAATAAAAAAGTAAAATAATCATTATTCGGCTTCTAGTGTTTAATCAATGGCCGCAGTAAATAACAATAATTAAACGAAGGCAATAAAAAAAAAAAAACTTCATTTAAATTCGTAAACGTTTTAAATCTAACACGCGCAGACACATTTTGGGCTGATTCGATTAACCTTCGTGCTTAACGGCGACGACCGCAATCTTTGGAGTTATCGTTACTAACCTTTTCACCTTGAATCGGTTTCACCGGTTCACCTTCGGTGCCGTGGATGAGAGTGGACTTGCGTCCATAGAAGCAATGGAGACGACTCGGTTCCTTGTTAAGGAATGTGTAGTACTCGTGAACGAAGAGCCAGCCCACCTCCGAAGCATTAACCTTTTGACCTGCTGAGGGGCCTCTACTCGCGGCAGGCGTTTGCGTGGTTGCGTTTGTTGGCGAAGTTGCCGTAGCGGCCATTATTGCATAAATGTTCCAATTGTGAAGTGATGGAAAGTCGAGTTTTGTATATTATGGACGTGAAAAAAAAGAAATTTGTTAAACTGAATTTGTGGTGGCTTTTTTTTATACACAATAAAAGTCTAATTTCAAATGGGGGGCTCAATTTTTGCCGAAAATTTGGGTGATCGACAATGAATAATTTCTAATTGGATGAAGAAGGGCCCGCAGCTGATGGAACCGCATATAGCGTAATTTGGTTTTTAATGAATGCTGCTGCGCACTCTTGACAGATCGAATCATGTGATCTGAGTCACCACAATTAGACTTGTTCACATCACAAAAAAACCATATAAGTACATAAACAAAATGTTCATGATAAATCTTCCTGTATTTGGATAGATTGTGCCAGTTTGAGAAAAAAATGTCCTGCCATTCACGGAAGAAACACTTCAGCCATCTTGTAAAGATTTCGGAGTCCGTTAATTATTCCGTTTTTTGCAAAATTTTATGACTTTTTAATGTTGGAACAATGATTATCGGTTATTTCAAACAAGTTTTGCAAAGTTTCAAAACGAAAATTTGAATATGACAGGGAATTTTGCGGAAACAATGCGCGCTACCGGCAAAGATAACAATTAGCGATCGACTAACTCGTTTTGTTAATAAAATGAACCGAAAAAATCCCATTTTCAGGGTGCCCTTTTGAATAATTGCAACAAACAATCGAATTGAATCGGATGGCTAAATTTCTTATGATTTTCAATGAGATTGGTTCAAAAAGAAAAACAATTGGTATCAAAATAGAAATATTAAATTACAAATCGTTAGTTGTCTTTTTTGATTACGAGGAAAAAAAAAAATTTTTTTTAATTAATCTATCCAAAAAGATTAACAATAACCTATTCGGCTATACAAATACGCCCAAAAAATTATTAACACATAGTTTCTCAAATATTCATTTAAAAAAATAAGTCATTCAACTAAAAATTAATAAAGTAAAAATATCAAAACATTCCCATTATTTACTGTAAATAAATAAAAAAAAATCGTTTATACGGTATATATTATTTTAAGATTTGACTTCTGAACAATTGTCTTATCAAAATATAGCGTATTTAATTTTTTATTGTTAATATACGTATAAGAAACATTTTTTAATTTTATTATGTAATTTTATTCTTAAAATTCTTAAAATTTTTGAAAAGAAATATCTAAACATATATTTTTTAAGAGTTCTTTATGCTTTTTATTAAGCAAGAAATAAAAGAGAAAATTACAAATTTCATCAAATTATATTTTAACAAAAAGAAACAAAACATTTAAATTGAAATTGAAATAAAACAAACCATTTTTTAAAAAAATATTATATTCAAAAACTAGTTTTGATATTATAATAACTTTAAAATAATAAAAATTAAATTATAATTTCAAAATTGACAAATTTAAAAATTTATCAATTTATATTATAAAAAATAATTTCAATATAAATATTATATAGTATATTATTATGTAAAATCTTATTTATTATTTTAACTATTTTAAGAAATTAGAATTCATTTTTGTAATTAATATTAATTATGAAAAAAAATTTTATTTAATATAATAAACAATAAAATATTCTTGATTAAATAATTTATATTAATAAAAAATATTGTTATTATTATATTTTTCAAATATTAAACTATTTAAATTATGTTTGTTTTTAAAAACTTGTTTAAATTTATTTAAAAAGTACTTTACTTATATAAATATTTTATTTCAAAAAAATTTGTATTAAAAAAATTATTATAAATTATTATAAATTTAAATTTAATTAAAAAAACCTTTTTTTATATATATTATTTTTTTTTTATAGTAGCTTTTTAAAAATTAAAGAAAAAAACATTACTTTTATTTTCTAATACCTACAAGTCCTCTATATCTTTCTGGTCTTTATTATAAAAGCTTTAAGAAAATCAAAAAAACATACTAATATATTGAAATAAAATCCTTGATCAGAAAAAAACAAGTTTGAAATTTTTGCTTTCTTCTTAAATTGCATAAGAAAAAACTTGTGACAATTGTTTTTTTATAGATTTTTCTTGAAACTTTTTTCATTTTTATTTTTATTAAATACTTTTTATTATTATATAAATCTTTTAAAATATTTTTTTTGTTAAAAAATTTGTTTTTAATATAAAACTTAAAATGTTATATTAAAATTATATATATTGTTGACTTGAAAAATTAATAATATATACAAAATATACTGTATAGTGCAAAAAAAATGACAAAAATTTGTATGTCACAAAATTACTTCTATCTTAATCAATTTTAAACAAAATATAATCAGGTTTTACTATAATGTGAATATAAGGTAGACAATTATTTTTTCTTTATTTTTTAACCATATTCTATTGATACTTTTAACAAAACCTATTAATGTAATACCAATCTTCAAGCAAAAAGCACAATGTTAAACCATATTATATTTTTGGAAGCAGAATATATACAATGTCAAAAAATTCATCTTAAAACTGGTATACCTATCTTAATCATCTATAGAAACTTTAAAAAGTTAGAAAGACTAGGTGAGATTAAGCACAAGGAAGGTAATGGATGACCAAGAAAAATCGTTAACAGTATTTTGAAAACATTAGGACAATACCTTCAGTAAAATTCTTTGTTTTTTTTAAGAACCTTAACCCTAAAACTTGTAAAAAAGAGAGTTAACGTCTCCTATACTACAATTTAGCAATATTTGACTAATCTTGGATATTAAAACAGTCTTTCTTTAATGGTACCAATGTTAATGAATACTTAAAAGAAGAATCATATCAAATAGATCCAAGAACACTTGGAAGACAACTAGAACAAGATTATTTTTACTGACAAAATAGTATTTCAGTTATTTCAGAATACAATAAAAAGGTGATATAAGGGTGTACGACCATTAAAAAATATATCTAAAAACAGATCAAAAGTTTTTATATAGGCAGGGATTTGCGCAAAGATAAGACAAGTTTATTTTGCTTTACACAAATCATGGATCCTAAGTTTTATATGAAAATTCTTCATAATCATATTCTGAAATTGTGACAATGCTTGGAGTGTATGGGGATTTTAGCAAGATAATGACTCCAAGTATACCAGCCAATTAATCAAAAGTTTTCTTATTGAAAATGTCCCATATCTTATAACATAAACATCCAACAGTTCAGATTTAAATTTGATCAAGAATTTATAGAGTATTATTAAGAGAAACATGGAAAAAAGAATATTTAAGAATTACAAAAAATTAATACAATATATGCAGAAAGAATAGAATGATATTTCTAAAATTGTTATAAAAAAATTAATATGTTTAATGAGACAGAAATATGAGTTAGTAATAGAACAAAATGGTAAAAGGATATTATATTGATTTTTTTTATGTAATTATATATGTCTTACCTTTAAAAAATTTTTTTTTGATGTAATTTGATAAATTGGTTTAAGTATAATAAATAGTTTTTTAATTGTTATTTTTTTTACACTATACTATAACTTTCAACATTATTTAATATACTATATTATATTATAAAAATTCCAAATCTTTTTTAAAAAATTTTTTATCAAAAAACTATAATTAATTTACTTCTGGTAATTGTATCAGAAAATTTTTAATATAAAAATTTTAATAATAAAAAACTTTAGAAATTTTTATTTTAAAAAAATTTAAAAATCTTTTTTGTAAAATGTTAAGGTGAGGCTTTTCTCATGATTTTATTAATTGAGTATGAGTTTTATCGATACATAATTAATTTTTAAATCTAGAGATGTATTACCATGCATACTAGCCTACCACCTATAAAGTAGATATATTTCTAAAAAAAACTTATTAC